ATACTAATGGTGTAGTTATTGCTCATATTGAATCACAACAAAATGAAAATGTTCAAGATTCAATGCGTTCACCATCACGTTCACGTTCTGTTTCATTAAAACGTCAAGATTCACAACAACAATATCGTCCATTAAGTGCTCATAATGCTGACGCATCAGCTAGTCTTATACAAACTTCTCATCATCATCATCATCATCATTATCGACGTAATCAAATAAATGATATTAAATATTCATTATCGAAACCTGATTCAAATATGTACAATACAATATCACATTCATTTCGAACACGTTCAAATTATATAACACGAACAAATAATATTCTTAATAATAATCAACATCATATTAATGATGAAAATCAAACAAAACAATATTTAAAACAATTAATTGATGATATGCATACAATGAAATTAGAAATGAATAAAATACGTTTAGCATCATCATCATTTGGTACAATAAAAGGACGTTCTGATTCATTACGAATTAATTTAAAAGAATTACGTAATGATATTGACGCTATTTGTGCACGAATGGCAATAACATCAAAAATTTCTAAACAATAAATGTTTACCGTCTCTCTTTTTTTTTTTTTTGTTTCTTTTTTTATTTATTTGAAAATTTTACAACGTCTAAGGAAGAAGGAAGAAAGAAATGTCTTACAGATCTACGGGATAGACAAAAAAAAAGCTAGTAGGAGAAAAAAATAATAATGTTTTATATTTAATCGATTAAATTTATAGTTGAGTTATACCAATTGCAGAAATAAATGATAAAAGAAAAATAATAGCACTCGTCTTGTTATACCCTTCAAATCCTTTGCCCATATCCCAGGCCTATTAAAAAAAAAAAAATTTTAAATTAAAATTATAACATTTTATTTAAAACTAAAAATTTATTACCAAATGACGAATACCATTTAATGCATGATATGAAATACTAAAAGAATAAAAAACAATTTTAATAATAAGAGAACAATCACTAGACTATCGAATGTACGAGACACTTGATAACAATAAAATTATTTTTTTTTCCTGCATTCAATGCATCGATATCTGAATTTATCAACACCAAAATTTTAGCTTCCTATATCTTTTCTTTCTAAAGTTAGTCAATAGTACCTTTTTACAAGTATTCTATCCTTATGAATCATTGACTTCGTAGTCGTCCTATATTTTTCAAAAAAAAAAAATTCTTTTGAAAAGATTCACATATCCTATGCAAAAATAGTTTATAGGATGATGTTAATAACGTTACTGGGCTCTACAGTAAAACATGCAGACAGAAGTGACTCTACACATAATACTACTGGATCCAAACTTTTATCTTAGCATTCCATTGTGATGTAACAAAAGTGAAATATTGGGTCAAACGATAAAAACAGGCAAAAGATTTTACCGATTCAACTCAATCCAGTCGACCAGAAAAAGGATCAGCAGCCGTTCATTATCAGCCAAGACATTGCAATCTAGCTGAAACGAAAACGAGTCGTAGCAAATGATAGAACGACACGACAACGATCTCAAGAGTATGTCTAAACTAGCAAACAACTGGAGAATGAATAGTAATAATTAACCATCAATGTGTCTCAATCTTGCACTCATCGAAAATATTTGACAACTCCTCAAAACGAAGTTATTCAAGAAAAAAGCTTACAACTTAGCAATGATTGACTTTTGCAATAAAACACGAATAATCGAATTCCTTGAAGTTGATGAAAATCACAATAATTTCATATAATCATAATGATCTACAGATATCTTGTACTGTAGTCATTGCCTCCTCATGAACCAAGATGAGCATACCCGCAAGACTAATTATCTAATGTAGCATTATTGTAAAACACGACTGAATTTAAGATATCGACTCTTTGCCCATATTTTATACTGAATGAAATATATTGTGACCTGACATACTTTTCATCTGCAGGCATTAACAGTGGGTGGTATTTCATAAATTGAAACCTAACTTGATGGATTCTGTTTCTAACAATGACAGCAACTCCACCGTATGTCAAATTTTACTCCCACTGAAATCATGCTAACAATTTTTTATACTTTTTTTAATGTACTTTGATACATATCAAGTGTTATAACAGTAATGAGAAGACATAGTAACATAGTCTTTTATTATTTCTTCAGAGGAAAATTTTATGTACTATTGCTTTCGATATAATTTGAAAGTAACTCTAAAAATGTCTCTTCAAGATAGTCAATGACCTATATCACTATTGAAAATGCTATATAGTAAAAGTTTTACTTCGTGTTGTTTCAACAAGCTATTCGAATTTCTTATTAACTATATTAAAAAATAGAGAAATAAAAACTAAACAAAATAACTCTGATGATAAGACGATAATTTTCATTTAAAAATAATCTATTTCTTGTCTCGAGATTGAGAATTAGAGAATTCCAACTTGAATTTTATATACGTTATGCAACTTTTTATTCTCTAGAAAATTGTACTTTCGGGTCAAAACGAAGTAATAGAAAAAAAAAATTTTTGGTAGTTTTTTATTACCATAGTACAAATTCTAAAGTAAAATAAATATAACATTCGGAATTAGCATTACAAACGACATGAAATAAACTATATTTTAGAGAATTTTTTACGAAAAACTTGTCACCGGGCAAAACGTTTAATAAAACACAGTCATAGAAGTCACAGATGAGTTTTCTCGGGAAATTTTCTAAAATATGTTTGATTCAATGTAACTTTTGATTGCTAATATCGACTGTCCGATTGATTTTCATGACAATGAACTTCACAGATGTTGGTCTTATTATAATTTATAAAAATTTTAATGATTGGTTGAAATTAAATACTGCTAAACAGTTGTTATTGATTAACTTTTAAAAGAAAGATGCTAAAATTTTATGATAGGTAGTTTCAGACATCGATACCACAAATGTCTCATACACTTCCTAGTCTCATAATTCCTTTCTTAAATAACTTACGGCCATGCCATCAATAGTTTAACTGAAATAATAAACCAACTTGGTATATCCATTGTATAGATATAATTTAAAATTTCAGCACTATGACCAGTAGCCAAAATTGCAAGTGGACCAGCAGTATAAAGCACTAAGAATATATAAATAAGAGTTTTATTCAAGAAAATAAAATTCTTTTTTTTCTTGTTGTCTTCTTACTTATATTTAACACAACACCTGTGAAACGATGAAAACCAGATGACCATACTTGAAAAGGAAATCTAAAGAAACAATTAATTGTATTTATAAAAAAAAAGAAGAATCTAACAAAAATATTACCGATAGATTTGTATATGAGGTGATACAGGTCGTTTAAATTGATTTTCATTTTGTGCGACCCATTCGGCAGCTTTGGCTCGATAATTTGCTACATCTGGTGTCACCGTACTTGAAGTAGCTTTTTGTTGACTGAATTTAAATAAATAAATCAATATGAATATAAAGATTGTAATGAAATATTCTTACGCTATTGCCAATGGACCAGCACGGCTCAATGCTCGTGAGAGTAATTGGCGGTTAAGGTTGAGAAGAGCAATAGACATTATTGATCTGAAACGAATTCGAATAAGAAAATATTTTATATGAAATCAATTGTGAAGAAAAAGTACAATGTATTTAATTAATAAAAACGACATAAAGTACTCGTCTGGATCAAATACTACTATTCATACACTACAAAAAAAAGACATTGATCTATGTCTAGTTTGACCTATGTCATTTTATTAAGTATAATATTTTGTTAAGTAGATGAAAATAATTCATGATTAGATCCGGCTGTGGGGATCCGGACGCGATCAAGTTAGGATTTAGAGCGGACTTTCAATGGCTAAAGATGAGAATGATGACTGACTCATTCATACTATGAATTTCTTTCAACATAATGATCATATTTTATATATTATCGAAAGATAAGTTTAGTGTGCTGAATGTGCAATAAATATTGGCATTTATTCTTTTGTTTACAATATATTAATTTAAAACAATTGATAATAAAAATATGTACACGAAATTAATGTTTCAGACGAATAATTTATCTCAACTGTGATACATCTATAAAATAGCAGACAACTATTTCCTTTCTCTAAAAATTATTTAAGACAAAATATTCATCAGAATTAACACAACAGAACTAAAATTTATTATTTAGTTTTAATTTCAATTTTCTGGTTATTCATTTAGCTACTATCGTCATTCTCGAATTTCTTCATGCATAATCAAAATTGATTTAATCATAATTTTCTACAAAAACTACCGAATATTGGTTGAACTATGTACCGTTAAAAATAGTCTAAAACAAAACAAACGCGCTGTAATTTCACTAATAGTACCCACTAATGTCATCTGTGTTTACGAATGTTGTTCCAAGAATGATTCATTATCTCAACCAATCATTAAAATTGTAATACTCTATTTCCTATACATTATCTAATGATCTCAACAATATTTTAAACATAACCACAAAAAAAAAAGATTTGTTGATTTGCAGAAAACTTCTTGTTTTGTTTTATAAATATCCTACGATGATACAACATGTTATTTATTGGTTTATTAAATGATTAATTTAATTGTATAGATGTCACTTACGTATTAGGCAAATGATTTCATTAAAATCAAAAAAAAACTAAATAAATAAAATAAAAAATTCTATATTCTTTAAATAGAAAACTTATTTTCAATGGTTTATTTGTTTTTTAAAATAATCTAAAAATAAAAAATTTTCATTTTTTGTAAACAAAGTTCAGTCATTCATTTATATCTCTTTGATCGGTCAAAGTGATTGGTTTATTTATTTTGTTTTTGTTATCCGTAAAATTTCCTATGTCCTACGTATTATTTCGTTGATCTTTTTTTTTCTTGCTTTTTTTTTAAATTTTTTTCAGTATATGGCTGTTCAAATAAATATTTTGTACATTTCAACATAGCATCAAAAGGTTAATTTGATTTTATTCTCAATAATCAAGATGATAGTGACGATTTGTTTTTAAATTATAGAAATTATTAAAATAAAATATGGAACTAGATCCCAATGCAACATTTGTTAATAATATATCAACAAATCAACGTATTGAACCATCACGTTGTGTAGATTTAATTGTACTTGGAATCAATTATCGTTCGAATGAAGAAGATGTTAGAAATTATTTTCAACAATTTGGTGAACTTGTCTTTTGTGAGGTAAGACAAATACAGAAATATATATATTAGTGTATATTATGTTTCGTAGATAAAACGTGATGCGCAAGGTCAATCACGTGGATTTGGTTTTGTTCGTTTTAAAGATTATGAATCACAATTAAATGCACTTAATAAACGCCATCATATTGATGGACGTACATGTGACTTAAAAATTCCGGATTCAAAGGTAAATTTTAATGAATTCAAAAAATATTAAATTTTTGTTTTATTTCAAGAATCCTGGTATGCATGAACCTGAATGTGCACGTAAAGTATTTGTAGCACGTCTTCCAGGTAATAAAATGAATTTATTTCAGAAAAAAAGAAAAAAAAATGTTTTTTTTTTTTTTTTTTTCGTATGTTTAGAAATTGTTACTGCTGATGATCTTAATCAATATTTTAAACGATTTGGAGAAGTAACTGATGTTTATATTCCTCGACCATCAAGAAGTTTTGCTTTTGTTACTTTTCTTGAATCATCTATTGTTCCATCTTTATACGGTGATCATTTCATTAATGGGTATAAAATATTGAAGTCTATTGAACATATTTTATTGTTTTGTTCATTTTTGTTTTCAGATGTAGTGTACATGTTGGACCAGCTGAACCAAAAGGCAAACCAAATGACAGTCAATTCAAACGATCAAAAGCAGGTAAAATATTATAATTAATTCTTCAATCAGAAAACAAGAAAGAAATCTGAGTACCTGCTACAGTATGCATCGAGATGAACATTTGGTTAAACATAGGATAATATAGTCGATTTAATCCTATAACACAGCTCTCAAGAGAAACTCAAAATTAGTATTCGACAAAATTGAATTGTTTGCCAGAAAAATTGAGTACATTTTCTCAACCCTTCACTCAAGCTCTATGCAATGGTAAAAAAAAAGGGATTTTCTAGAATGTCATTTCAATGGCTAGTTTCATAAAATATTCTATACACGCACATCCGATCTCTAAACTTCGCTAGAATGTTCTTCGGTCAATTGTCTCTGATCGCTGTAGTTGTGAAAAACTATTATATTCGAAATGAACGCATTGAATTGCACCGAATGATATGCAACACAAAACAATGCTGAAGAAAAAAAAAATTTTTATGTGTCATACTCAATCATTTTTTAGCAAGAAACTCATCTATCTATCTGCCATGGGATTAATTTACACTATGCGCCCTGTCTTTCCAAGATCTTCATGAGTAGAGCAACAAGTTGCCATCATAGGATGTTATTTCCTATGTGACATAGAGATCACAATGATCCCTGTCTCTCTGAAATATAATTTTCGATCGAACTGAAACTTTTTTTTTGTGAGTACTACTAAACGTCAGCAGAACAACTTTGAACCCGAAGAGTGATAAGTATTCTGCTGGAAATACATTTACTTTACTCTGAATGAATGAGCACGAACTCTTCATTGAGCAAAATTGATTTCTGAGAAATGTCATTTTTTCGGTCTTTCTCATATGTATATAAAGCGTTGTTTTCACCCAACGCTATTTGTAAGTTTAAGGTCTTGGCGACCGGAAAATGTTTTATTTTTTTCTGATGCCGAGTTCTTTTCTAGCTCTTAAAACATATTCAAGTGTACTATAAGTCTGATGTTAAGGAGGCACTCATCACAAAAATCATGTTTTAAATCTTTCTTATTTAGCACATGATCGATGCTAAACTACTTATTTCATCATCGAAATATATTGTGCATGTTAAAGATGCATCGACCTACAGTGGAATAGTTGATAACTATGCATGAAAAACATAAAAAGTCCAAAATATTGAATAGAAAAAGACATTTGAGACTTTTCTCCGGGATACTCCGATGGAATCAGATGTAGGGTTTTTATTTGAAAAAAAATATTGTATCGATGTATATCGGATGATTTGATAAAATTAGTAGCAATCGAAAATTATCCAAAATTTAACTTTTAGGGTGTACTTTCAGCAACCTAGGATAACTTGTGTTTTACTATATGTGTCTCGAAAGTTGGATCTAGACATTCTTAAAAAAATCTTGCAAAGAAGCCGAGATGCCCTTAAGACTCACTTCCTGGGGGGAAACCTTTTTTTTTCTCTAGAATAACCAATCTGACTAAAAACTTTGATCGAAAATACTGAGCTACCATAATATCAAGGATTTCTCCTCGGAATTTAATGATACAGCTTTTGAGTTCTTTTTAAAATGTATGCTGCAGAACACTTGGAATAAGAAGATACGTATTGGATGGAAAAAAAATTTTCAAGAGAGTTTATAAAAAAAATTCCAGTCTTTTCGTAAGACTACATCTGAATACATTACCATCCTCATCAAAGTTAAAAGTAAAAATGGTCGGTTTTACCTATGAAAAATATTTTCAAGTAGACATAGTAGAAATTGCAACCCGGTTGAACGAAACTAAAAGAAGGTCATAAGTAGTCAAGATTGAGAAAACTGATGTTTTACGTTGCGCTAATAAGAAAGCATATCCAACTATCGAATGCCATTCGGCTTTGCATTAAGGCTAGAAGTAGATCTCTTTGAGACTAATAAAAACTTAATAAGATTCGGATTCATGGCCGTTGTAAGGAAATTTTTACTAGGAGAAAATCATTTCCGAAAAATCCAAAAAATAAAGAATTTCTAGCTAAAATTATATGTACAGGCAAGTTTGATATTCATAAGATTATCCTGAAAGCTCTAACAAAAACGAACATGTCTGTCTCGAGACATGTTGGTTTTCATTCAAATTTCCAGCACTATCTAATGATTATTAAACATATCTCTGGTTGCACATTGCACTTGAGCCTATCATTTTTTTTTTTGGTCAGCTCGGAATTAGACACGCATTTCGCCCAGATCGAAATCAACATACTTTTGTGTTCTATCGAACAAGATAAACTTTTTAATCACTATGTCAGCATTTCATAAATTAAAAGAAAACTATATACAAATATTAACATTATAATCATTTTTTATTTAGATCGTAATTTTCATAATGTTCGTTCAATTCCACCAGCCAATACACATCCTTATCCATCTTATTCTCAATATGGTACAGGTAATAATATGATGTCTGGTGGTGGTAATACTGGTAATGCTACAGCTTCAAATAATCCAGACCAACAACAACAACAATTACTTTTACAACAAATGCTTAATCCAAATATGATGCAAGCTTTTCTTCAAGCATTTCAACAGCAGCAACAACAACAACAACAACAGCAGCAGCAGCAGCAGCAACAACAACAAACGAATAAATATGATGCTAATAATTGGGCAACTGGTATCAATGATCAAGCGACGAATGCATATAGTCATCATCATTATCCGAATGGTCCAACGAGTGGTAAATTCAATGAATTTAATAATGATCCATGGGGTTCTCAACATCACACATATCGATAAAACTTTGGTGTCTGTGTCGTGTTTTTCTTTTTTTCTTTTGTTTCTTCTCTGTTTATTTCTCTTGTTCTTGCGATCTCATTTTTTTGAGTAGCTGCAATAATACTCGCGCGTGTGTACGTTTTCTCCATTTTCTCTGTTTTTTTTTGCAGTGTGTGCGTGTGCGTGTGCGTGTCGCTAGTCTAACGAAAACAAAAAAAAGAATTTTGTGTCTTGTGTTTGACATTTTCCTTTTTTTTTTTTAAAAAACGATCTGTTGTGTATTTGTATGTGTGGTGTTTGTTGCATAGACAATGTGATTTTTCTTTTTTTTTGGTATGTTTATATACGAAAGAAGAAGAACATGATTAAATTGATCTTCTATCTATAGATTTTAGATGGATAATACCATATCAACAAATAGTACTGGTAATGTTCCATTATCACCTATACTTAAAACAGCATTAGCATCAGTGAATAAATCAACAACAACAAATAATGGTGAATCAGAAAGAATGAATGATGATAGTGAAAAATGTTTTCCAGAAGATCGTGTATCAAAAGATTATTATTTTGATTCATATGCTCATTTGTAAATAAGAAAAGTTTTATTTAAAAGAATGTTTTCTATAAGTTGTTATTGTTGTTTATGTTTTTAGTGGTATTCATGAAGAAATGCTTAAAGATGAAGTACGAACATTAACTTATCGCAATGCAATGGTTTATAATCGACATTTATTTAAAGATAAAATTGTTCTAGATTTAGGTAAATTATAGTTAAATGATTTTAAATACTTAAGGCATAGCAGAAGTAGTTTTGTTTCTTATAAAAAGCTTAAAAGAAACTTTCGATCTAAATGGTCTCATCATTGATCATTCTTCGACCAAATAAATTTCGATAAGAGTTGTTTATTATGATAGATTGTTTTCCATATGTATTTTCTTTTCTCTCATCGCTTTAAATGCTTGGCTATCTGTACATATTAAGTTATACGAAAAGTGGTGACGGTAGAACAAAAAAAAAAAGAAATACAGAAACAGATTTATCAAGTTTTTACTTCAGTAATTTTCCGAACTTCGCAACATGTCATATTTTTGTTATTCGATTTAATCGAATAAAATTTAAATGATTCTAAATAGTACTATAAACAAGTTCATACGTTCTTTGAATAAAGAAGAGTATATAAAAATAAATGTTTCATCAATGAATTCAACCAAGTTCATATTTCGAGAATGTAATTTTCTTGCACTTAATAAACTGTTCTCATTTGTGTTTATAACTAAAACAACTTTTGCTATGCCTTGACTATTTAATTTTAACCAAACACGAAATTTTTTTAATCTATTTGAAATTTCTAAAAAAAACCAATAGGTTGTGGTACCGGTATTTTAAGTATGTTTGCTGCTAAAGCAGGTGCTAAACGTGTTATTGGTATTGATATGTCATCAATTGTTGGTTATGCTCAAGAAATAATTGAAAGTAATAATTTAAGTTCAGTTATAACACTTATTCGAGGCAAAATCGAAGAAGTTGAACTACCTGATGGTATAACTGAAGTTGATATTATTGTTAGTGAATGGATGGGTTATTGTTTATTATATGAATCAATGCTTAATTCAATATTATATGCACGTGATAAATGGCTTAATAAACAAAATGGATTGTTATTTCCTGATAAATGTCAACTTTATATTTGTGGAATTGAAGATAAAAAATATCGAGATGAAAAAATTAATTGGTGGTAAGAAATGTATTAAAGATCTTTATATTTTTTGAATTTGAAAATCACTTTACTTTGACAACTAGAAAAGAATAAATTGTGTTATTTAAAAGAAATAACTACTTAAGATTCAAGGTTTTATTCGTATGAGCACAATCGATAGAAAATGTTTTATAAGAATATTTGTTCAGAAGAATCGTAAATCATTGACATCTTTTGAGTCTATATTTTGCTAATTAATAAGGAGACCGTGGATTAGAACGAATTTCGAAGAGTTGATGTCCTTATTGCATATGAACTGAACTATTGAATTGGTACTCAGAAGCTTGATCCCGCTGCTCCCTTCTACCAAATTTTATGATCGAATTCTGACCTAAAACTTAACCCACACAGAATTCTTACTTAGATAAGCATATACAGACAAGACCTTTAAAACTAGTCTTCTCTAAATATAAAGCTTTCAAAAATGTACTGTCTCTAGATCGATATTATGTAAAGTTTCACAAGATCAATAAAAAGAAATATTTTCTCGATAGTCAGAAAAAAAACTAACTTATTTTGCTTAAAACATGAGAAATATATTCACATTCTTTTGGAGAATTTAGAACAGTAGACTATCTCTATATGCAATGAAACTCGATCACCAACAAGATTTAGTTGTATAATTGATTACTTCTGTGGATTATCAATTGTTAAATTCAACGATTCTAAGAAAATCTTTTCGTTATTTACACTATGTGACGAATTTTAGTATTTTTATTTTAGCATCGCTATTTATTTGTTCCAATAATTTTTTTTACCAAAATGATCTGTACAAATAGCACCATCAAGTCGAATAGACAAAGAAATTCTTCCAAGAGTCTTTAATTTTTTATGTCTGACAATCTATTGAACACTATAGTGTAATCAGGGGGCATCCTGATTGTAAGACAAGAAAAATTTTAAATGAATTCATATCCGTGGGGATCTAGAACAGAATTATGGTCATTTTATCGAGTTTTCGATCTAGCTTTAGGTATTTACCGAAAAACCAAATAACACAAGATTTAACTCATAGATACAACTGATGATTTTAAGAATGTTTCTTTGTCGAGGTTTGCAGTGAAAAGATAAAGTTCACGGACTTGGGCGGTGACCAATCCTTATTGCGCGGATTGGTGTAAGTAAAACAAAAGTAAAAATTTCCTAAGATTTGAAATGGCTACTTTTGAGTCCGATCCACCAATGTATCACATCATGGCAAATATGTTAAGGATAATTTGTTTTATCTTAACAAATATATTTTTATTTTACATGTTTATCTGAAGAAAACTATGAATTATTTTTTTTTATTTTTCAGGTATAATGTGTATGGTTTTGATATGAGTTGTATTCGAAAAGTAGCTATTAAAGAACCACTTGTTGATAGTGTTGATAATCGTCAAGTAATGACAACACATTGTTTACTAAAAGAATTTGATTTAGCAACAGTTCGTGTTGAAGATTTATCATTTACAGCTAATTTTACACTTGATGCTATACGCAATGATTATATTCATGCACTTGTTGCTTATTTTTCAGTTGAATTTAGTAAATGTCATAAATATTGTGGATTTTCAACTGGACCTGATGCACCATATACACATTGGAAACAAACTTTATTTTATTTTGATCATGATGATGAAGATATTATGATGCATAAAGGTGAAAAATTAACTGGTAAATTAAATTTACGACCAAATCCAAAAAATGATCGTGATTTGGATTTTGACATTGATTTTACTGTTCAAGGACAAGATACACAAACAAAATATCATGGAGAATATCGAATGCATTAGAACAAAAACAAAAAAAAAAAACTTTATAATTCCGTTTATATAACCTAGTCAGACATCTATCTGAACATGAACTAAACAAACTTATTATTATTGTTGTTGTTGTTGTTGTTTTTTTTTCCTTTTAAACACTTTTGTTGTTTGTTTCTAATTATGGTTGACAATGTAACCTATGATGATATTATGTTTGTTTTTTTCTTGTCAGAAGAAAAACAAGAATACATTAAAAACAAATCATCTTGCTTTTCTCTTTTGAGATCATTTTCAAAAAAAAAAAAAAAACAGAATGTTTCGAACTTTTGTCAGATATTTAACAAGTAAAACATTCATTAATCCAAAACCATTAGCACCAAGTAAACCAAAAGCATCTATTGATTGCGTAAGTAAATATGACACACTATACAATGATACATATATATATATATATGTATGTGAAATATTTCATATAGGATAATTATTTTCAAGATGAACTTGAAATTCGACTTATTGCTGGAAAAGGTGGTGATGGAAAATCGTCATTTTCAAAAACTTTTCAGAATGAATTCGGAGGACCTAATGGAGGAGATGGTGGCAATGGTGCTCACATTATCCTTCAAGGTAAACATATACAACAATGGAGATATCTTATGTGAAATCTAATCTTAAGGTAGATTGTTCGAAAAAGCTTGTGGATTTAAAACATCGTTAATTTTTTGATAATGTACTTACGAGCAAGTATCTAGCTGAGAGTAAAGGCAAGAACGATACTTGGGGTTGCCAATCAGCTGCTGATGAAGGCTAATTTATCAGAGCTACGACTTTCTTTTGTTACAACTTAAACTGACGATTCATGTATAATCCTGGCAACCTCCTCGCTTTTTTGTTGTAAAATAAATTTTTAAATGTATTTTAGCATCGAAATGTATAGCATCATTAAATAATATGAAAGATTTATACAAAGCTGATAATGGAGAACCAGGTGAAGCAAATTTTAAAAAAGGCAAATCAGCCGAACATCTGATTGTTCAAGTAAACAAAATATTTTATTGTTTTAATCACATCTACGTTTGTTTTAAAGGTACCCGTAGGTACAATTGTGAAGAAAATCAATGGAAATATCGTTTGTGAACTGAGAAAGCATGAACAGAAATTTATTGCTGCACGCGGAGGTTTAGGTGAGATTGAGAGGTTAGTCTAATAATCTCGATATTCAATAAATGTTCTTTTTTGTTTCATTTCATTTCTATAGGTGGTAAAGGTAATTATTATTTTTTATCAAATATGAATCGAGCACCAACTGAATGTGAATTGGGTGCTAATGGCGATAGGAAAAAATATAAGCTTGAACTTCAACTTATAGCACATTTTGGTTTGGTAAATTATTCATTTGCTTAGCAATCATTATTTTATTGATGTTCTTTGTTTTGTTTTTTTTTGTTAGCTTGGATTTCCAAATGCTGGTAAAAGTAGTCTTTTACGTGCAATATCAAGAGCACGACCAATCGTTGGT